AATAATATGCATCAATTTACAGTGCCTTGAAAAAGTATTCATACCCCTTGAAATTTTCCACATTTTTTCATGTTACAACTAAAAATGTAAATGTATTTGATTGGGATTTTATGTCATAGACCAGCACAAAGTGGCACATAATTATGAAGTGGAAGGAAAATGCTAAATGGTTTTCAAACTTTTTTACAAATATCTAAAAAGTGTGGCAAGCATTTGTATTCAGCCCCCTTTACTCTGATACCCCTAACTAAAATCTAGTGGAACCAATTGCCTTCAGAAGTCAACTCATTAGTAAATAGAGTCCACTTGTGTGTAACTTAATCTCAGTATAAATACAGCTGTTCTGTGAAGCCCTCAGAGAGGTTTGCTAGAGAACATTAGTGAACAAACAGCATCATGAAGGCCAAAGAACACACCAGCAGGTCCGGGGATAAAGTTGTGGATACATTTAAAGCAGGGCTGGGTTTTAAAAAAAAATATCCCAAGCTTTGAATATCTCATAGAGCACTGTTCTATCCATCATCCAAAGATGGAAAGAGTATGGTACAACTGCAAACCTAGCAAGACATGGGCATCCAGCTAAACTGACAGGCCGGGCAAGGAGAACATTAATCAGAGAAGCAGCCAAGAGGCTCATGGTAACTCTGGAGGAGCTACAGAGATCCACAGCTCAGGTGGTAGAATCTGTCCACAGGACAACTACTAGTCGTGCACGCCACAAATCTGGAGTTTATGGAAGAGTGGCAAGAAGAAAGCCATAAGAAGTCCAGTTTGCGAAATGCCATGTGGGGTACACAGCAAAATTGAACTTTTTGGCCTAATAGCAAAATGCTATGTGTGGCAGAAAACTAACTGCACATCACCCTGAATACACCATCCCCACCATGAAACGTGGTGGTAGCATCATGTTTTGGGGATTGCTTTTCTTCAGCAGGGTCAGGGAAGCTGGTCAGAGTTGATGGGAAAATGGATGAGCCAAATACAGGGCAATCTTAGAAGAAAACCTGTTAGAGTCTGCTAAGGACTTGAGACTGGGGTGGAGGTACGCCTTCCAACAGGACAACGACCCTAAACATACAGCCAATGGAATGGTTTAGATCAAAGCATATTCATGTGTTAGAATGGTCCAGTCGGGGGGGGCCCTTAACATGGTGCCGACCAGGAGCTCAGTGTGAGCGCTCCGAGACAGTAAGCACTTCCTGCGACCCCGAAAAACAGTGATGCCTTAGGGGTAGTCTGAGTGGGGTGTGGTGCCCCTGTGTGCTGGCCAGTGGCGGCGGTGTGGGGTGCAGGATGGAGTCTGAGGAGGCGGATCCTGCCAGAGGTCGGAGTGGTGGATTCCAGGTGGTACGTGGCCACCACAGAGGGGTGCCGGGAGGCAGAGAGGCCAGCTAGGTAAGGAAGATAACCTGACCTCACTACCAAAGGACTGGCGCAGGGCCCGCAGAGCCCTGCGGAGGGTGATTCCCCCCAACAGTCACAGTCATTAACAAGGTCGGCATATGAGGGGCTACTGAGGATGGCGAGTTAAAATCAGACTTGTACTGTTCAAAGCTTAATAAGGGGGATCACCCAGGGGGCCCAGAAGGAATAGACACAGAGATGTAAGGGAGAAATAGACTCCTGGTGCGGAGATGGGAAAAAAAGGAAAAGAAAATTTTCAAGGGATATAAACTTTGGAGGGCCTTAACCCCAAATTTGTTTCAGTGGAAGGAACCCTTTTTCTGGGGAAAATTAGAAAATTATATTAACCATGAAAAGTAAAAGTGGCAAAAGGGGGAGGGTCAAAGACATCCCAAACAAGTTCTATCAAAAATATATACCCTCACAAGAAAAACATTTAGAGGGACAAGCCCTGGAGAGACATCAACGATTAAGTGGAAGATGGGAGATTGAAAACCGCTAGTGGTGATTGCTCCAGATTGTTAATGGGAGTGTCTAATAACAGTCAAAGTGTAGAAGCAGAAGATATAGAGAATGAGTCGGTCAGTGAGAACTCTGAAGAGCAAGAGAGGACCTCACAGATGCTTACTAAAATTCAATATAGCAGATATGTTTATGAGATTGAAACACTCCATAAAAACTGCAGATGGCTATAATACATAAAGATTTGGGGCAAGTTTTGTCACGAGTAGAGGAGACTGAGGGGAAACTGGATAAACATGCCCTAGTAATAAAAATGTTGGAAAAACAAAAAGAAAGGAGCAAAGGAATCTGCTATATAAACTGGAAGATCAGGAGAACAGAGATAGGAGTAATCTGAGGGATATGGGGTTTACCTGAGACCTCGCAAGGAGAAGATTTGATAGAGATAATGGTGAAACAATTTAACACAATAACGGACCGTTCAGCAACGGAGCATCTGAGGATCGACAGAGCACACAGAATAAGAAGACCCCAAGGAAGGGGAAGTGGAAACCCTAGAGATGTGATCGTGCGATTTCATCATTACAAAGATAAAGTGGAGCTATGGAAAAAGACAAAAGGAAGACCAGTAATAAAATATGGAGAAGCAAATTTACTAATTTCTGCTGATATATCATCAAAAACATTGGCCAGAAGGAGAACGATGAAACTATTTCTGGAACAGATGAGAAAACAAAACGTATGATACAGTTGGGGATTTCCAACATGCCTAATCGGATGGAAAGACGGTCGTTCTGCAATGCTGAGATTTCCAGAAGACTTGAGAGACTTTTGTTGAGAGACTTGATCTACAGATAATAGATATCCCAGGTTGGGAGGAGGGGGCAAAAGAGAATAGGGGATCAGAAAATGAGAGTTGGCATGTGGCCCCCCAAAAGGAACATGCGCCAGAGATAAAGTGGGGAAAAGGAGGAGGAATGGGAGGGAGCCCATTGTTGACTTCTTTTTCTCTCTCTCTCTCTTCATCCTTCCCTTCACCAGAAAAAAGGCAAAAAAGTGTTTAGAAATAAAGGTAGGAAACAGGAAGTCACACATACATCCAGGGTTTAGGAACACGGTCAGGATGGGTGTATGTGGTCAGAGCTCCACCCTAGCTCGGGATCAATGGTGGGATTAGGTCCACAGACAATTCAAAGGCAAATTAAGAGCCCAGGGGGAGTAGGGTGGGGGATATGGGGTGGGAGAAGGGAGGGAGAATTATGTAGGGAATAGCCCCGTGTTCCTTCGAAATGGGTGATGGTAATCTTGCTGGGAAGAATTTAGATGGAGAGAAAGGAGGAAGAAGTGAAGGAGGGGAAGGAGAAGAAGAATAAAAAAAAATGATATACACACGGGAAATGGAGGAAGTTAGATTTATGACCTATAATGTTAAGGGACTAAATAGTCTGGAGAAAAGGCATAAGATCTTAATTGCAATAGCGTTTTTACAGGAGACTCATTTATTACAGGAAACAAATGTGAAGTCATACTCTAGACATCCAATCTGGTATTATGCAGACTCACCAACTAAGCGTGCTAAAGGAGTGGCAATTCGTTTAGCTAAAAATTTAAGATGGAAGAAAAGTTGAAGGATCCTGAGGGGTGTTTTTTCTGTTCCTGAAGGGGAGATTACAGGAAATAGAGTGTACACTGGCAAATATTTACTGTCCTCATTGAAATCCAATGGCCTATCTGAAGAAAATATTGAGAAGGCTCCTGGATTTGAAAGTGGGCAAATTAATTTTAATTTCTGCATGGCTCCTCAGATTGACACAACGTGGCACGTGCAGAGAGAGGGAGGTAGATGTTTGAAAGCTATTCGAAGAATGTTTATATCGGTGTCAGCTTATAGATGTTTGGAGAATTAATCATCCTAGAGATAGAGACTACCATATTTTTTCACTTCATAAGACGCACTCTTTTCCTCCAAAAAAAGGGGGGGAAAAGTCAGTGCGTCTTATGGAGCGAAGGTTTAAAGCGGCCGCTCCTGTATTTCTGCCGCCACCATGTCAGAATATCGGGCCGGCCCCGCTCAGCTCTGCTCTCCTGCAGGACCTTACCTGTTCCTCGCTCCAGCACTGCAGTCTTCCCGCAGCGGCTTTTGTGACAGCCGGGGTGCCCACTGCGCATGTGCGAGAAGCGCTGCGTTGCGAATGGTCCGGTGTCTTCTGAAGACACATGACAGGTCCCAGAAGGCTCCGGGGCCATTCACAAAGCACAGCGCTTCTCGCGCAATGCACAGTGGGCACCCGGCTGTCACAGAAGCTGCCGCGAGAAGAAGGGACAACTCCCGTGGGAGCGGGTACCTGTCAAAATTCAGGCACCCTTTCCCCCTCCCTCCCCAAAGGTCCCCAGTCTCTGGTAATCTCCTTTACTGTCTGCAGGTCTTTGGTCATCCCCTGCACTGTCTGCAGTCTCTGGCTCATCTGTACTATGTCCACAGGTCCTCCAGGACTCTGGTGTCATTCCCTGTACTGTGTCCGCAGTCTCTGGTCATCCCCTGTACTGTGTCCGCAGTCTGTACTGGTCATCCCTGGTCATTCCCCCCTGTACTGTGTCCGCAGTCTCTGGTCATATCCCCTGTACTGTGTCCGCAGTCTCTGGTCATCACCTGTACTGTGTCACGCAGTCCATTCTGGTCAACCCCCCTGTACTGTTCCGCAGTCTCTGGTCATCCCCTGTACTGTGTCCCGCAGTTCTCTGTTCAATTTCCCATGTTACTGTGTCCGCATCTCTGCGTCATCCCCTGTACTGTTCCGCAGTACGCACTGTCTCTGGTCATCCCCACTGTACTGTGTCCCCAGTCTCTGGTCGTCATCCCCTGTACTGTGTCCGCAGTCTCTGGTCATACCCCCTGTACTGTGTCCGCAGTCCTCTGGTCATCCTCCTGTATACTCTGTGTCCAGCTCTGAGTCTCCTGTTGTCATTTTCCCTGTACTGTATCCGCAGTCTCTGGGAATCTCCTACTGTGATCTCCCTGTACTGTGTTCCTGCATCTCTGGTCATCTCCCATGTACTTTGTCCGCAGTCTCTCGGTCATCTCTTGTACTGTGTCCGCAGTCTCAGGTCATCTCCAGTACTGTCATCTCTTGTCCTGTACTGTGTCCGCAGTATCTTGGTCATCTCCTGTACTGTGTCCGCAGTCTCTGTCATCTCCTGTACTGTGTCCGCAGTCCTGGGTCATCTCCTGTACTGTGTCCGCATGTCCTCTGGTCATCTCCTTACTGTGTCCGCAGTCCTCTGGTCATCTCCTTGTACTGAAGTAGTGAGCGGAGCGCTCCAGCGCTTGGCTACTATCTGAAACAACTGTAACTGTCTTCATTAACGCATATCAAGCAAGATGTATGTGTCCGCAGTCTCGGCGGTCCATATCCTGTACGTGGGTGTAGTCGTGCATAACATAGACTAATCTGCGAGCGAGTGTACTAGAAAGATCCGCTAGTCTAATAGAAGTCATCTCATAATAAAATCTGCGGATTGCGCATTATAACTCTTCTGTCTCTGGTCATCTCCTTATTTCTGTTTCCGCACCACTCTTTTCCATCCTAAAACCTAGTGTACTTGTGTCCGCAGTCCTATGGTCAATTCCCCTGTAACTGCGTCCGCAGTCTCTCTGAGTCATCCCCTTGTACTCTCGTCGTCCGCAGTCTCTAGGTCATCCCCTGTACTGCGTCCAGCAGTCATCTGGGGCATCCCCTGCGTATCTTGCGTCCGCAGTCCTCACGGTCATACCCTGTACTGGCGTCGCGCAGTCTCTGGTCATCCCCTAGTACTGCAGTCCGCAGTCTCTGGTCATCCCCTGTACTCGCGTGTCCCGCAGTTCTTGGTCATCCCCTGTACTTGCGTCAGCAGTCCGTCCTTGGATCTATCCCCTAGTACTGCTCCGCATTCAGTCTGCTGGTCATCCCCTGTACTGCAGTCCGCAGTCTTTCTGGTCATCCCCTTGTACTTGCGCGTCCAGCTAAGTCTTCAGGTTCAGTCCCCTGTACTGCTGCTCCGCATAGTCCTCTGGTCATCCCCTGTACTGCGTATGCACGATCTACTGGTCATACCCTGTACTGCGTACCAGCAGTCTCTGGACAACATCCCTGTCACTTGCGTCCGCAGTCCTCTGGCGTCATCCCCTGGTACTGACTGTCCGCAGTCCCCTCTTGGTCTTCCCCTGTACTGCGTCCGCAGTCTCTGGTCATCCCCCTGTACTGCGGTCAAGCAGATTCTTCTTTGGTCATCCTCCTGCCGCTAGTCTGTCGGTCATCCCCTGCAGTCCGCGTCTCTGTGTCATCCCCTGTACTGCGTCGTCGCAGACTCTGGGACTCATCTCCCTGTACTGCGTCCTGCTCCATGGTCTCCCTGTACTGGTCGCAGTCCTGGTCCTGTACTGCGTCCGCAGCTCACTTTGGTCATCCCCTGTACTGCGTCCGCAGTCTCTGGTACATCCCCTGTACTGCGTCCGCAGTCTCTGGTCATCTCCTGTACTTGCGCAGTCTCTTGTCAGCTCCTCTGTCCGCAGTCTCATCGTCCTGTACTGACGTCCGCAGTCTCTGGTTCATCTCCTGTACTGTGTCCGCAAGTCTCTGGTCATCTCCTGTAATGCTCGTCCGCAGTCTCTCTGGTTATCTCGCTGTACTGCGTCCGCAGTCTCTGTCATCCTCCTGTACTGCGTCCGCATTCTCTGGTGGTCATCCCTGTATACTGCGTCCGCAGTCTCTTGCTCATCACCTTTGTACTGCGTCCGCAGTCTCTGATTCATCCTCTGTTCTGCGTCCGCAGTCTCTGGTCATCTCCTGTACTGTGATCCGCAGTCTCTGGTCATCTCCTGTACTGTGTCCGCAAGTCTCCTGGTCATCTCCCTGTTACTGTGTCACGCAGTCTCTGGTCATCTCCTGTACTGTGTACCGCAGTCTCTCTGGTCATCTCCTGTACTGCGTGTCCGCAGTCTACTGGTCATCTCTGTACCTGTGTCCGCACACAGTCTCTGCGTATCCTGTACTGTGTCCGCAAGACTCTGGTCATTATCTCCTGTACTGCAGTCCCGCAGGCTCTAGGTCATCCTCTGTTCTGCGTACCTGCAGTCTCTGGTCATCCCCTGTACTGTGTCTACGCAGTCTCTGGTCAGTCTCATGTACAGTGTCCCTAAAAAATGAGAGTCTGCTGTCATAGTTGAGAATATTTTTTTCCTTGATTTTCTTTTGTTTCTCTAAAAACATAGGTGCGTCTTATGGAGTGTCAGGTGCATCTTATGGAGATCAAAAAATACAATTATACTCTCCGCACATGCAATGTATTCTAAGATTAGATTATATATTGTTGAAAACATAATAGACTCTTGGGAGTAGTTGTGTTAAAGTAAATTTACGACGTTCGTTGGTTAAACGTAAATATATTAGTTTTACAAAAAATATCGTACCATTGCACTGTCACAATGAATCTATAGGGGGGCGAGAGAGCAGATATAGATAAAATATGTGGAAATTAAAACACAGACGCTCCTTCAGGATCAGGAGACAGAAGTGAGAAAAAAAAGAAATGGAACAAGCTATTTTGAAAGAAATTAAACCGTAGGCGTTTCAAGGGCACAGTGTGGGAGCATATATATCAGAGAGAATTCTGATAGCGATTGTGGGGTTAAAAAAAAAAAAAAAAAGGAATGGCAAAAAGCAAATGAAATTACGCTATTAAGGGAATTATATGAACTAGAACAGTTTACCACAAAAAGAGAAGAGTAAAAGACATACTGCAGAAAATAATAAATTATAGAGGGATTTTCTAATTTAATGAGGTCAGGCAGAAACGAGGAGAACATTCAACATGATGGCAAGAGAGAGATATCACAGTGAGGGAATAAACCTGTTAAAATATTTAATAGAGAGCAGAGAGAAAGACGAATCAAGGAAACTTATTATATAGAGAAAATCAAGGCTATGATAAAGGAGAATTGGTTTACTCAACCATGATATACTTCAAATGTATTTAAAAAAATATTATAGGAAACTATAATTTTAATATCTTGAGATAAAACCAAAAACAGTTAAAAGGGGGGGGGAGAAGAAAGACACTAAAAGAGAGTCCGATGTGCTTAAGAAAGGATGGTGACTACCGAGATTGGAGAAGATATACGGTTAACATGGCTAGAAAGACCCGGTAACAGAGGAGGAAATCCAGGGACCTCTCATGAAGGTTACAGTTTGCATGGGAGGAGCTTATAGGGCCATATAGGGCACACTGTGAGATACTATAAAAAATGTAAAGAACTAATCCCCAAACTGAGTGTTATATATGAAATGCATTAGGAGATGGGATGGAAATGAGGGAGAGGAGTCATTGCAAGCATATAATACAGAAAGATGGGACCCAATGTGCTAGCTACACAGGCTTATCTCACTGTTAAATACAGATACCATACTGTACGTAAAGGTCCTGGCAACTAGATTGAAAAATCATATGCCGAAATGGATTCACCTAGACCAGGGGTCTGCAACCTTTTAAGACATAAAGAGCCACTTGGACCCGTTTCCGAGAGGGAAAAAAAAGACTGGGAGCCGCAAAACCATTGCAACATTTAAAACAAAATCCGACACTGTATCATATATTGCAAAAAACGCTCTGGTCATGAAGGGGGTTTAAGGGCCCAGTAAGCAAAGGGTTAATCAGGGCCACAGTGTCTTCGTACATAATCACAATCATAGCCTTAGGTCAGTGGTGGGCAACCTTTTTTTTCGACTGAGCCAAATCTCGCCAAAACCACGATTGAAATTTATTTTGAGAGAAACATTTTTAAAACTGAAAATACATCCCCCCTATAGTAATTCATCCCCCCTATAGTAATTCATCCCCCCCTATAGTAATTCATCCCCCATAGTAATTCATTCCCCATATTGTGTGAATTCACTTACCTTTGCTCCGCGCGTTCCCTCTCGCTGGGTTCCCGCGCCGTTCTGGTCTTCAGGGCGGACTGTGAGAGGAGAGGAGTTCGTCACGCTGCCCCGCCTACATCCGGGCTGCCCCGCCTACATCCTGACAGCCAATGTTTGCCAGCGGGCGCCCGGCACACAGAAGATCTGCATTAACCATTAGCCGCCCGGCCAATAGCCGTTTGGCGGCTTGAAAAGCGCTGCAGCTTTCCGGGTCCACGCCATTTGGCGTGCTCCCGCACATGCGCCGTTTGCGCTATTGCAGAGCGGCGCAGCAGCGGGATCTGTCACCGCCCGTGCACCTCGGACACGGCCGATGACAGATCCGAGTACCGGCTCCCGTTGCCGGTACCATGTGACCTGCCGCGACCAATCACAGCAGGTCACATGATAGTTGTATACAATGGATGGCTTCATTCATGATGCCATCCATTGTATACTAGTGCCTAGCTGTGAATGGTCATAGCTAATCACATGCACATGTCATGTGATTAGCTGTGACCAAATCACAGCTAAGCACAAAAAAAAAAAAAAAAAAAAAAAAGCTGAATGAATCGATTTCATTCAGCTAAATGCTTGCTTATAGCAAAGTAATTCTTTGCTATAAGCAAATTGTGTAAAAAAAAAAAAAAAAAAAAAAAAATACTGATCACTTCCCCAAAGTAGTACAATGTTACTATGGTAACATTGTACTATTTTGGTCATAGTAAAATATGAAAAAAAATCTTAAAAAAAATAAAAAAAAATGTAATAAAAAATTAAATATAATAAAAAAATAAAAAAAAATTAAAAAAAAATATAATTTTTTTTTTTTTTTCATACTGTCACCAGTCAGTGTCCCTGTTCACCGCCATGCCAGTTATTTGATGACGCTGTACTGCACTGGTGACAGTATGTAAAAAAAAAAATAGTGAAAATAATATTTTTCATTTTTTCATTTTCGGAAAAATTATGACAAAAAAAATACAACTTCAAAAAACTCGCCATGCCTCTTATGAAGTACGTCCGACTGTCTACTCAGCAAAAAGGGGTCATTTGGGGATATCTGTACTATTCTGACATTCTTGGACCTCAAGAAATTAGATTGGCTGTCAGTACTTCAGGATTGATCAATATTCAGATCTATACCATAGTTTGTGAACTCTATAACTTTCCTACAAACTAAATAATACATCCTAATTTGGGTTATTTTCACCAAAGACATGTAGCAGAATACATCTCGTCCTAAATTTATGAAGAACAATTATTTATTTGTAAACTTTTATAACAGAAACAAAGAAAAATGTGTTTTTTTTTCAAAATTTTTGGTCTTTTTTTGTTAATTTAGCAAAAAATAAAAACCCCAGCGGTGATTAAATACCACCAAAAGAAAGCTCTAGTTGTGTGAAGAAAATGATAAAATTTTAGTTTGGGTACAATGTTGTATGACTGCGCAATTGTCATTCAAAGTGTGAGAGCGCTGAAACCTGAAAAATGGCCTGGGCAGGAAGGTGTAAAATTGCACGGTATTGAAACGGTTAAAAGAGCCGCGGCTTGCCGACCCTATTGCCTGTCACCTGGTGGGCAGTGTGCTCCGGAGCCGCAGGAAAGGTGAAAAAGAGCCGCATGCGGCTCCGGAGCCGCGGGTTGCCGACACCCGACCTAGACCAAGTGGGATTTGTCCCCAGGAGAGAGGTAAGAGATAATGGATTAACCACTTCAAGTCCGGACACTTTAACCCCTTCGTTTCCAAGCCAATTTTCAGCTTTCAGCGCTATCACACTTTGAATGACAATTGCACGGTCATGCAACACTGTACCCTTATGAATTTTTTAGCATTTTTTTGAGACTGATAAAACTTTATTTTGGTGGTATTTATTCACCACTGGGATTTTTTTATTTTTTTTAAAAGAAAGTGTTTTTCTTATAAAATTTTACAAATAAGTAATATTTCTTCATAAATCTTGGCCAAAATGTATTATCTTTAGTAAAAAAAAACAAAACAAAAAATACTAATTAGTTCATAACCAAAAATTATAATTTAAAAAAAAATGTTTTACATTATTTTTTTATTTTTATTTTTTACATACTGTCACCCTAGCAGTATAGTGTCACCATAGTGACACTGTACTACTTGTGGGGGGTTATGAAGATTTTATTTTTTTTTTTACTCTGATTGCTTTTACAACCAAAAATGCTGTAAAAGCAATAATTTCTCCTTCTCTCTAGCTTCATTCTTGCAGCCATTGAGAAATACTATGTGAGCTATGATTAGTCACAGCTTGTCACATGATACAAGGCTGTTGTGAATAGCCTTGTACCATTTGATCTCTGTGATCATTCACAGATTTCACACGTAGAAAGCAATGATGTCAGAAGTGACATCTTGCTTACTACTATTCATGTGATCACTGATTGGCCAATCAGTGATCACATGATCAGGACCTCACACAGAGGTCCCGTACAACGATTGGTGTTCCACTGTGTCCGGAGGACACAGCGGTTACCGGGTTGCGGTGCTGCGCGCTCCCAGGGAGCGAGCACAAGCAGGGGGCGGGGAGGCCATTTATAAACGGACACCCGCCCCTGCATGCCACTGTCCAGCCGTTTATATAAATGGGCCAGACAGCAAGTGGTTAAGATCATTGTTCCTCATACAAAAAAGTAAGAGGGAAAAAATCCCCCGTACTGATTTTATCAGTGGATCCAGAGAAGGCTTTTGATAAGGTAGACTGGGGCTTTATGTTAGATACGTTGGAGGTTTTGGGATTGGTCCCAAAATGAGATAGTGGATAAGAAAGCTTTAAAGTCAACCCTCGATAGCAGTAGAGGTCAATGGTTCATTATCAGGTTCTTCAAGATGTATAATGGGACAAGACAGGGATGTCCACTCTCGCCATTGTTTGTTTTATCCTTAGAACCTCTTTTGGCAACAGTAAGAAATAGTGTAGATGTGAAAGGGATACAGATAGGAGAGAGAGATCATAAAGTGCTGACGGTATGCTATTTTATGTGGTCAACTCTAGATTGACATTACCCAATCTAATGAAAATAATGAAATATTAAGGAGAGCTGTC